GGACGACTCCATCCCCGTCACTTGAAGCCCTAGGCTTCTCCCCCTGAGGGGACAGGCCTCCTACGTAGGCCAGGGTTGGATAACCGGCTTTCCGAGTCATTGCACCCCTGGTTTCCATAAGAAGGGACTTGGGTTCCCGGCTCTTGCCATCGATCACGAAACCCCTACGGCTGTCTGCCGTCTTGCCGGGTAATACAGGATCTTCCAAATGTTTTGACAGGCAATCAAATTTTCCGTCATTCCTCATCTCCATATCCTGTACAGATTTTTCCATGGCCTCCTGGATATCGGATTTATATCCCGCCAAAAGTTCTGAGAACGCAGCTATATCCAATTGGGGAGAGGTTTTTTGTTTAGATCTAGAACGAGACTTCGGTTCAGATTTTATAGATAAAAGGGAACGAGACTTCGGTTCAGATTTTATAGATAAAAGGGGAGATCCCTGAACTATCTTCGACTTAGAGCATTCTGATGACGATGAATGTTTACGCTTCCTAAGTAAGGAACGAGATTTGTCCATCAACAACCAATCTTCTTCCGACATTTCCTGACACAGTAAGCATCGATCCGATATTGAGCAAGGTAAGCCTTAATAACAGGAAGCACACAGAGAGTGGGGATCAACATCCGCCATGAATTTCTGACATTGTAAACATTTGCTCTGCACCATACTTGTCAATCAAAAAAGGGCGGGAAACTTTCAGATCCTAAATACGTTTGAAATATATATAATATAACTGCAAAACAGCAATGCGATTGAATATTAAAGGGAATGCGATTTGTAACTGACCTATATATGAAGAAATGAAGACTTGATTTGAAATGAAAATTTCACTCGATTCTCTGCATGTCATGCGTGTGGACCATACAGAAAATTATGAAGGGTTCTAGGCGAACAATACAGTGACGTCAGGATCAAGGAAGATAACTCAGGGGTAGATTAGGTATACCACTAGGAATCGCTATGACTTAGTGTTAAAATTTCTTTTGATTTTCTGTATGTATTCTGTGAATCCACAGGAATAAGGCTACCATAATCCAGAGGGAATGTTTTCGTTATAATTCCTCCAATTCATGAACATTAGTATCCGAGATCGCTGCTTCCTCATGAATTGAATCGCATATCGATTCCGTTGGAGTAGATTGGCTGATACCGGTAGGTTGTATTTCCATTGAGCACTGTTGAGCCACAAAACTCTGGTCCAACAGTAGTGTAGGATACCCTGAGGGTTCGCGAATACTTGTGATGCAGTCGTATTACTCTGTTGATGAATGATGACGTTGAATAGTTGAAACCTTATTTGTATATGCGCCGGTAGAGACAAGGTCGATTGATTACTAATAGACTGGTTCAAGAACGCTTACGCGTTTTGTGTAGAGACAATAGTAGAACAAGTAGACTGAGGTGACACTCGTTGATTGTTCTCCTGATGTAGTAGACGAAGATCTATGTTGAGATGAATGTTTCCTTCTCGACGGTGAAGATTTTGATGATTGTTAGCTATAGTTTAGCATGAAATGCATGTGGACCCGTTTTTTTGTAAATATCTCTTCATCCAATGATCCAATCAATCTCAAACTGTGCAAGTGGATGTTTTGTCAGACAACCTAATCACATTGTAAATCACCGATTTTATGCATTTGTATTAAAGAATCTGTCTATGTAACTGTCAACAAAATAAACAGCAGAACGCAGACGGCTTGCAGAGGGAGGGAGCCAATGACCTGTAACAGCGGCAGTGTTGGGTCATAAAGGTCAACGTTCGTCAATGTAGGTCAGCTATGCACGTGACAGGTATGAAGATGTGTCACAGGTCGTGAATAGGGTAAGGTGGGTGCCAACTGTTAACCATCATACGGAGTTTGTTCCTCTGAGTTGTTCAACATTAACCACAAAAGCCATTAGTGAGAATTATTCTGTAGGTTAAAATCTTTAAAAATGTTAATGTCATATTTTGTTTATGCAGTACCTAAGTAGAAATGCATTTAAAGAACACAGAAAGTATATTTACACTAAATCATTAATCGGACCACCTATGGTTAGAACTCAACAACTGTTAAAGCCCCGTTCCCTCGGACACAAGCACACACAATCATGCACACTCATTGAAGAAAAGATAGAATGAAGACAAAAGTGTTAGGTTTTGATGTCGTTCACATTCCAAATTAAGCAATGCATTTCTAATAGCTTTAAGCATATAGATAGTTAATATTTTTATTTTCATGATAATTTTATGTGAAATGAGTGTTTCATGTTACACTATAAGTCATTGGAATTAGTCAGTGCTGTCATTGTTAAAAGAAGTTATATTTCTTTGAGCATATCTGGCTGGATACTATTATTATCTGTAAATATAATAACAGAATTAAACATCATCAAGTTCACTCCATTCTTCCACAGAGGAGTCATCAGTGTCCAGACGAATGACAACTGGATTAACTGTTCGCTCCTTCAAGCCATCTTTGAGTCAGTACTCTTTCTCCACCTTCTTGACATGTTCAACACATGCATGCCAGCGTGCAATGTCAATGTCACATATATCAGTGTTGACAATGTGCTTGACATCATTCAACTTGAATGATTGATTTTTCCGGGCCACTGTACTTTTAAGGTCTCCCCAGATAAGTTCGATGGGGTTGAGATCACAGTGGTACGGTGGTAATCTCAAGACCTTATGGCCGTGTTGGCGTAGCATGTTGTCAATGTTATATGTGGGTGGAGGTTTGTTAGGTTTAATCAAAGAGTACAACTGTGGTTTAGTGGCCTTAATTGAAAATTGTATATTGTTATTTGTTAGCCATTGCTGCATATCTGACTTCTTTGTATTGGAAGTTGGGCACCTATTGTTTGGATCTCGAACACTGTGATAGGGAGCATTGTCCATGACAACAAGACTTTTGTAAGGCAGAGCTGGCAACAATTGTTCCTCAACATACTGTGTGAAAACCATTGAGTTCATTTCTGTATGACCGAAATACCAGATCACACCCAGGTAGGAATCCACGGTGGGAACCAGCATGAAGAACGATTAAACGTTCACCTTTGCCTGTTGGTATTTTCCTACCATCACTGGGATCAGTGGGTAGCCACTGTCTGGCAGCAGTATGGTTTGCATTGACCCAGGTCTCATCCAGATATATAGGTTCGAACCCATCCTCTCTTGCCTGCTTAATTTCTCTCAGATAGTTACACCTTATTTTCACAATATCAGATCTCTCACACATTACAAGTTTCTGGTTTGCTACCTTCTTGTACTTGTATCCAAATTTGAGCAGTAGTTTGCTTAGCATAAACCTAGAAACATTAATGTCGTGATCCTCTGCAAGGATGTGTTTTAACTTTCTTGTGGACAGGTGTTCATTTCTAGCAAATTGGAGGCGAATGACATCTCTGATGACCCTGATGTCAAAAGAATCTAACTTTGGATGTCTACCTTTTTGTACAAGGTTTTGTTTATTGGTTGTTGGTTTATTTTTCACAATTTTTAGCACGATGTTCTTTTTCATGCCAAGAGCAAAAGTTGTACGTTTCATGTAATCGGACACCTTATAAATCGGTTTGCTACGTTTGCTCTCTTTTTAAAAAAAATTAAACACATTTCTAATCAAACGTTTAGCATCATCTGAATAAGCTTTCATGATGACAGCTAGAGGTAGTCAATGTGAATGATCCAAACGGTCTATCACTGTGCAGTGCACAGGTAACTATCATGAACTGCACATGCATTTACCTTTATGACCCAACACTGCCGCTGTTACAGGTCATTGGCTCCCTCCCTCTGCAAGCCGTCTGCGTTCTGCTGTTTATTTTGTTGACAGTTACATAGACAGATTCTTTAATACAAATGCATAAAATCGATGATTTACAATGTGATTAGGTTGTCTGACAAAACATCCACTTGCACAGTTTGAGATTGATTGGATCATTGGATGAAGAGATATTTACAAAAAAACGGGTCCACATGCATGTCATGCCAAACTATAGGGTTCACGAACCCTGCAGAGGTGAAAGTCGTCGTCTTCTGAGAAAATGTGCGGTTTGAGAACCTGTGGTGACCTATCTAATGCTGTCATGGCATTCTCGAAAGATGTAGCTACATTCGTGGACTTCGTTGATCTAGATGAATGCTGTGATGTCGTAGATTTCGACGTTGATGTCTTCTTAAACGATATAAACGATCTCTTTTCTTAATTAACCTCTGCTGCTCAGTCTCTTCCCGAAGATGGGTTTCCCCTTAGGGGGAGGCTGTGTAGCTGTCTCTGTAAGAGCGACTGAGACGGGAGAAACCCCAGAAGGAATCTCCAAAGATTGCTCCAACAACTCACACTCTGATGCTTGAGAGGCACCCCTATCAGCAGCTACCCTGCTATCACACTTCCTTTTCTCCATTTCCTTGCGTAAATGCTAATGAATATTTATTAAACTGAAGTGGTGATAAATGTGCACAATATTTACAACATGAGACTAAAGAGCAAGAATGAATGATACAGGAAGAACACACAGGGCATCAGCTGCTGAAAACTGTAGCCTGCATTATTGACACGCTACAGAGTAAGCACAACAATTAGTTCAATTTTGCATAAATTCTTACATCGTGAAGGTAATATATAGAACCTAAATACAATTCACGGCCTTAATCTGGATAAAGAGGCCGAAATATAAAGGATATAATCCGCAAAAGGGACCCATACTGACCGCCAAACCATCTGCTTGGGCGATGAAGGAGAGAGTAATAAGAGCTGGGCTCAAGTCACATGGGACAGCTTTGGTCGGAAAAGGGAGGCAACTCGTTGGGTGAGTGATTTTACGATTCTTCAGGGAACAACAGGATTCAAGTTTCCACGTAACCGTCAAAAGGAGAAGGGAGATAAGCAATAAAGCATGAGTCAGGATAAGGAAAGATAAGTTATATTAATCAAACAAATCTAAGATATTTCACTTCACAAATCTCTAGTTCAATAATGTTAGTAGACTCTGACAGACTCAGATGTAACACTACCTTGGAGGCTACATCATGTTTGTTCTTGTTTGGATCCATGAATGGTTTCTTTATACCTGAAATGACAAATGCCAAAAATCAAGGCAACATAGTAAATATCCTGATCATGAAACAGCCACACAGAGATGGAGTGGTATCAGCAGATTTTACAAGACTTCTGTCAGGATTGATGAACCCGCATGCAAACAATAATAACATCTGACTGAAGGTAATAGCTTCTACTTATGTGTTTAGTCTGTCTGTGTTATTATCGGTAACTTGTGGGTTGTTACCTGGGTTCTATTTACCTGAGTGTTATCTATCAGTACCTGTTTCATTGTGTTTTGTTACTCTGTGTTCTATTTACCTTTGTGTTGTTACTCTGGGTTCTATTTACCTGTGTGTTGTTACTCTGTGTTCTATTTACCTGTGTGTTGTTACTCTGGGTTCTTTTTACCTGTGTGTTGTTACTCTGGGTTGTATTTACTTGTGTGTTGTTACTCTGTGTTCTATTTACCTGTGTGTTGTTACTCTGGGTTCTATTTACCTGTGTGTTGTTACTCTGGGTTCTATTTACCTGTGTGTTGTTATTCTGGGTTCTATTTACCTGTGTGTTGTTACTCTGTGTTCTATTTACCTGTGTGTTGTTACTCTGGGTTCTATTTACCTGTGTGTTGTTACTCTGAATTGTATTTACCTGTGTGTTGTTACTCTGGGTTCTATGGCACAATGTGTGAAGCCCATTTCTGGTGTCCCCCACAATTGATGTTGCTGGAATATTGCTAAAAAGCGGCGTAAAACCAAACTCAGTCAGTCAGTCAGTCTGGGTTCTATTTACCTGTGTGTTGTTACTCTGGGTTCTATTTACCTGTGTGTTGTTACTCTGGGTTCTATTTACCTGTGTGTTGTTACTCTGGGTTCTATTTACCTGTGTGTTGTTACTCGGGTTCTATTTACCTGTGTGTTGTTACTCTGGGTTCTATTTACCTGAGGGGCGGTGGGGTAGCCTAGTGGTTAAAGCGTTGTCTCGTCACGCCGAAGACCCGGGTTCGAATCCCCACATGGGTAAAATGTGTGAAGCCCATTTCTGGTGTCCCCCGCCGTGATGTTGCTGGAATATTGCTAAAAGCGGCGTAAAACCAAACTCAGTCAGTCAGTCAGTCTATTTACCTGAGTGTTGTTACTCTGAATTGTATTTACCTGAGTGTTGTTACTCTGGGTTCTATTTACCTGTGTGTTGTTACTCTGGGTTCTTTTTACCTGTGTGTTGTTACTCTGGGTTGTATTTACTTGTGTGTTGTTACTCTGTGTTCTATTTACCTGTGTGTTGTTACTCTGGGTTCTATTTACCTGTGTGTTGTTACTCTGGGTTCTATTTACCTGTGTGTTGTTATTCTGGGTTCTATTTACCTGTGTGTTGTTACTCTGTGTTCTATTTACCTGTGTGTTGTTACTCTGGGTTCTATTTACCTGTGTGTTGTTACTCTGAATTGTATTTACCTGTGTGTTGTTACTCTGGGTTCTATGGCACAATGTGTGAAGCCCATTTCTGGTGTCCCCAGCCGTGATGTTGCTGGAATATTGCTAAAAGCGGCGTAAAAACCAAACTCAGTCAGTCAGTCAGTCTGGGTTCTATTTACCTGTGTGTTGTTACTCTGGGTTCTATTTACCTGTGTGTTGTTACTCTGGGTTCTATTTACCTGTGTGTTGTTACTCTGGGTTCTATTTACCTGTGTGTTGTTACTCGGGTTCTATTTACCTGTGTGTTGTTACTCTGGGTTCTATTTACCTGAGGGGCGGTGGGGTAGCCTAGTGGTTAAAGCGTTGGCTCGTCACGCCGAAGACCCGGGTTCGAATCCCCACATGGGTAAAATGTGTGAAGCCCATTTCTGGTGTCCCCCGCCGTGATGTTGCTGGAATATTGCTAAAAGCGGCGTAAAACCAAACTCAGTCAGTCAGTCAGTCTATTTACCTGAGTGTTGTTACTCTGAATTGTATTTACCTGAGTGTTGTTACTCTGGGTTCTATTTACCTGTGTGTTGTTACTCTGGGTTCTATTTACCTGTGTGTTGTTACTCTGGGTTCTATTTACCTGTGTGTTGTTATTCTGGGTTCTATTTACCTGAGTGTTGTTACTCTGTGTTGTAATAATCTGTGTTGTATTCACCTGTGTTGTGTTGAACAGCAACAAGTGGGGCAGGACCTGCAGAGCTGGTAAAACACTTCCCTGACGTGAACTGCTCCTCTGTCAGTACTGACATGACCTGTGTAAGGAACAAACACACCTGTACAACCACACCTTGTGTCATACTCTGTCTACCCTCTGTCAGCACTGACATGACCTGTGTAAGGAACAAACACACCTGTACAACCACACCTTGTGTCATGCTCTGTCTACCCTCGCGTCTCAAACAAACTCATTCATCAACACTGTCAACACATTCTTCAAATATACTGATACTATTGTTTCACTGTTTTTTCAAGAAGGGCACAGATGAAACAAGTGTAAGAAGACAAATCTTTAAACAACTTAATCTTTACACAACTGACTTGTATTTCCTTGCCACCAACACAAAGGGTTTCATCTTCTTTCAGGGACGCCAGCTCACCGGCCTTGTAACCACTGCCTCGACCAATCCTGAATAAAAACATTTGTATTTCATTCTCCAAACTAGCATCGACTGTTGTCATCATAATAAACATGTCATTTCTTTTCTCTGTCCGCTCCGATATCTTACACATAAGATGGATGAAAACCCTACTTTGTGGCTTGTTGACAGAGTTAACCTCTTTGGTCATGTTGACAAGGGGTCAGACCTTGGAACAGAATGCTTGTATACACCATACAGAATACACCATATACACTAATACTCAAGGTCAACATATAATAAAATGCTGTAATACTCTTTGGTATATTTTATGCAGTAACATATAAAAGTTGTAATCAAGGCCACTCACTCTTTGCTCTCCATGTCATACAGAGTGACACTTCTGCCTTGAGTCACCAGCACAGCTGCACAAAAAAAACACAAGTGTATTTAATGTACCATTTAGGGGTGGGTATTGCAAAGAATGTTCATATTGTGATATACTGCGATGCGAAAGCACATATTGCAATATGTATTGCAATATATTGCAAGAAGTTTTTTTATACAAAAAACCACTTATAATCGAGTTAATGCTTGATTTATAAAGCAAAAGCACAACAATATCACTATGCTTGATTAGGTTTTAATAAAAAACTTTTAATCGTGACAAAATGAAAATGTAAAAAATGTTTGGCACACATGAAACAAGGAAAGGAACAATTTAAAAAAACGGAAATATCCGAAGATTTCTGAGTGTTACAAAGTTTTCCGAATGCATGTCAAAATACCAGTTTTCGATCAGCATATCGCAATACGTATCATGTCTGAACCGGTAAATACGGGTAAACCAGTTATATTGCGCAGCCCTAGTACCATTGTTTATGCAATTACTACAGATGGGTTGGAAAGGTTTCAAACAGTTGTACAATTTAGATTTGATTTTTTTTATACATTTACAAGAAAATTTACTCCAGAATGAATACAGAATTATTAGCCTGAAGTTCCAGCCAATACAGTTTTGGAAATTTAAGCATGAGAGACTCTGAGTTCTTGTTTGGTCATGTAGAAGATTTAGATTTCTGGGGATCCCTTTGTTCAAATCCTAGACCTCAAGAGCCCCCTAATGTTGGACACTGTAAGAGTATTTCTAGCACTCTAAAATTACTCACCATCTCCTTCCCACTTCTTGTGCTGAAGCAAATATGAGATTCAAATTGAAAAAAAACCTATTTGTCCAGAAACATGTGCATACATGTTAACAATATTAGACATGTTAGTTTAAAAACGCGTAATTGTCTAAAGTGCACTCCTCAGTATTCCATGTTGTTAGTAAAATATTGTTATATCCATCTGTATACATTTTTAATTTCACTGCCTACAATGCCATTGAAGATGAATGTATCTATGAGATACTGGTATTCAGAAAAAAACAAAACCTATCATGATCACTTAGTAAAGACTATGATGTCATGCACACCATCAGCATGATAACGGATATATGACAGACTGTCTACTTCTAGACTATCAGAGGATTAATATATTAGTATAAACCAGGCAGCTACCTTCTTCTTGGACCGTTTACACCAAACAACACTGAGGTAGTTCTTCTGCGATGTTGCTTCTGACTTTGTTGCTGAGGTGCCTGAAGCAGTTGAAAGTAACTGATCAACTTTTGCTAAAATGTTTTAACAATTAGAAATCAGAATTGCTTTTTGATCATAAGCTACATATCGGTATCCTCCTATTATGCAGACACGTAGTTCACAGATGCCTTAAAACAACAACATTTACGGTTCAATGAACACATCAGATACTACCTATTACCTACACATTATAATGCAATAGTCCAAATCAAAGCAAAAGAAAAAATACTAAGCTATATTATTTACTTTGAATGATCCTGGAAAGACATTAATTTTGATTGCTGCAATATAAAAACAGTTGATTTTCATAAACATTTGGGTTGAACCTTCTCGTCTAACAAGAGTTGGCATCCAGGGGATAGATGTTTGATTGAACAAGGCACAAGCCAATAGTTTAGAAAGACTCCAACTTGAACCAGCTTGCAGAGTTACTGTTCTTCCAAGATATGCATCTTCCAGTTTGTTGTATTACGAAATGGGATGGGATTTACTTTACTTTGTTGCATCATTTAAATCTTATATACATGTGAAAGACAAATGTGCACCTAAATATTATTCATATGGAATAAGGAAGTTAAATGTTTTGCACACAGGATTAAGATATATGACGAGTACACTTAATTATGATTTATTTAGAATAATGTAAAAAATGACACATCATGTCAATGTGGCCATGGATATGAGAATGTTTTTCTTCTTCGAATGTCCATTATGTAACTTTTATGATAAAATTGATATTTTATACTTATCCTGACTCATGCTATATTGCTCATCTCCCTTCTCCTTTTGACGGTTACGTGGAAACTTGAATCCTGTTGTTCCCAAGAACAGTCAAATTCTCACTCACCTGTGTAGAGCCCAACTTTCCCACCAAAAGCGTCCCACGTGACCTCAGCCATGCTCACTTCACTCTCTCCTGAATACGCCCACACTAGGGCCTGCAGTGAAACCCATAGTGCTGAGAGGGGATGGTTGGGAGGGCTCTTCAGATCATGAGTCAGGATAAGTATAAAATATCAATCATAAAAATTACATATTTTTCCTTATCCTCACTTATGCTATATTGCTTACCGAATCAGATGGAATAGGCGGCGTGTCAGCCACCTAACGGAATGTGATGTAACTGAATTTCTTTTAGCCTTTGACGCTCAAGAGAGTTCACATGTCTCAAGACCAGGCTGATAGTTTATCGTCTATGAGTGGCCACAGTTTACAGCACCAATATTTTTGTGGCACGTGTCTGCATATCAAGGATTAAATCTCCATGTATAAATCAAATAATGCCATCACATCACAACCATTTTCTTGAAGGGTCAGCAAAACAATATTGTTTTAACTTACATGTACAACCACAGGGTTAAGACTGAATAAAGCTTCAATATCATAGCTGAACTGGGAAACACAACTCAACATAAATTGACATTTCTTGTGAAGTATTCATGAAATCATACATAATACATTGTGCTTGATCTTATATGTATAAGATTATATACTTCTACCATTTGGAAGCAGTGGGGTAGCCTAGTGGTTAAAGCATTGGCTCGTCACACCGAAGACCCAGGTTCGATTCCCCACATGGGTACAATGTGTGAAGCCCTTTTTTAGGTGTCCCCTGTCGTGGTATTACTGGAATACTGCTAAAAGCGGTGTTAAACTCAACTCACTCACTCACTCACTCTACCCTTTATTTGTTCATCTTTTCCCTCCCTTTTTTGGTAACATCTACTGTTTTAAAATAACAAAACTTGTTCATGCACATCACAAATAACTGGGCATATTTACTTGTTTCTGCGTGAGTTTTCCCAGCATTTTGAATGTGTGGAGTATTCCTCTCAGCCACTCTACCCAAAGGAGACCGGAACTTGCTGACTCCCAAAAGAGGTGATGAGAATTTGGCCTTTATGGCTGATGAGGCTTGTGTCTTCTCGGTCTGTGTAGCGACAACAATGTCTTGCTGAAGAGGTGGTGCAACATTGCTTCCACCTGAGACACATGATGAATGCACAGGCTCCTCAGCCTGAACGTCTCTGTCATCTGAAGGGGTGGATGAACTGTAAGATGGAAAATGACTTTCACTCTCAAAATATATCATATTTCTAACTTACGAATTCTAAGTGATTTATCAACTTCAAACTGGGCAAAATAGTTTTGTTTAACTGACTATGAAAATAACCATTCAACAAGTAACTATTGCTCTAACATGTAAATAGTGACTCATTCACACAAAAATACCTGTATATCACACAACATATTAGGACATGAAATGTCTGAAAATGAATTGTAAACTTTCTATCATATCAGTCTTTCCCCATGACCTTGCAAATATGTCTGGACTGCTTCTTCACATTACAAAAGTGTATTGTTACAGCTCTACTGTAAGCACATTTTCGAACACCCTACGAGATGTACAAATGAAAATGTATCCATGATAGTATTAACTTACGCATCTGATGTACACACAAGGTCAGACAGGACAGTTCTCTTTGGCTGCAAAAATAGAACACTCAGCATTATGCTGCATATGGCAACTGTGCTGACAAACCAGGGATTCTAAGCCACAGACAGAAGTACTTCCTGGATGCTACATGATTAACACTTAATTAAACTGTGGACTGAGACCACTGACCCACCTCATCCTTACATCAAAGCATTTTCACGGAAATCAGTAAGTGATCATATTGAACAGGGCTTGACCAGTTATATTTTTGTTTAACAGATCAAGCTGCCATTTTCAACCATTTACATCCAAAAATATTTAAATTTCTGATTCTGAGACATAATTAACTGTTTATCTGAAATGTTACAGTTACTGTAACATATTAATATTGCTCTCAGTTAAAGGAGAGCATTTTTCAGGATACAAATAACACCCCACCTACTCCCAATTTGCCATGCTTTTTTTCCTGTTTGAAAAATGTATTTCAATATTATATTCATGCTTCAGCCATGCCTGGCTTCAGATATGTTCAGAATATATATCTGTAAAAAACTAATATAATTTGTCTGGCTGTGATAAATTGTTCTTGGTTTTGTGATGCTGAAAAAGAAAATTCAAACATCACTCATTTTTGATAATCTTCTGTCATATGCATGGCATTATGATAAAAAGACTGGCATCAGTTTCACCACTTCACCAGTTCCATGAAAATGACATCAAATTTGCATTATAACTCCAACACTTACTATAAGTATCTGCAAGTGTGCATGCAGAATTAGAATTTACCTCTGGCACCACAACTTGGTTGTCATGCAAACTGGGAGAAATTGGGTTCTTGTACGGTACAGAGAACTTTGTCCTTTTCGCTGGGTTCAGCTGGCTGGGGGCGGCAGACCTTCTCATATCTCCATCCTCTGAAACAATAGAGTCCTCGGTCGTTAAGAGTTCCGCCCGTAACCTCCGCTTACTATGATTATTTCAAGGGGTCAGGGTTTAGGTTTAGGGTTTAGATTCAGCATTATGTTAGGTTTAGGGTTAGGGTTAGGATAGACTTTCTATAAAAAACATCTATATAAACGGGGGTTACGGGCGGAAATCTTTCCCTAACGTAAAATGAGATGAGATCAAAACACGATAACATGACCTCAGCGATACGTTGTCGCTATTAATATTATGAAATTATGTATAGTGGGTCACCTAGAAAACCCTATTTTTCAGACACTGGGCCTACAATTCGATGTTTGTTTACTTTGATCTTGATCCAGGTGGTCACATTCAACACTCAACAACAGTTGCCGTGTGAGATTCGGGTGTCAATGGTACATATGATAAGCTGTAGTGTCGTACGACAGATCCTTGCTTTTGTGCTCCGCGCCGTTTTGCTAGATTTATCGGGAGTTATCTACCCACTGCAGACGACGCATCTTGCATCAACTGGTAAACCGACCATTGATTATTCATTTGCTGTTGCCTATACATATAGGCAATTTCAATAGACGCACTCTATACTCTGTATTGTGAATACAAAATTCTACAGAACCATTTTTTACTTAGAATCAAACACAACTACAAAATAAAAATGCGTAAATTAAGAGTAGCGTCCCCTGATAACTCTCCGAAAATAAAGTTAGAATTAATCTGGTTAAACTGGTATTCGCTGACTTAAGCGTATATACAGGCACCTAGCTTTTAGTTTAATGTATATACTTCTTAATCCATTTCCGAAGTATCAAAACTAAACACAAAAGTCACTTTCTAAATACTTCTATTGGCTTCTGTTAGCTTCAGTATGATGTATACCGATTGATGAAATTGTGCTATAAACATATGTTACTGCTATGCCATATATTACCGGAAAGTTTAATCGGTTTAACTGTAAACTATATCTATGGTAACACCACCAGAGCTACATATAACGTTTTGGGTCATTGAGTTATGTACTCGCTTGTGTTCATCTCAATAGGGTATCCTAACGTTCCTTTGAGTAACTAAATAAATTGCACTCACCTCACTCAAACTCAATTTGGTATTTTGCCGTTGTCCATTCATTTTACAAAATATAATAAAGTTTAAATGTTAGTGTTTGTTATTTATATTTGATCTGTAATATGAGAAACGATAAGAAAGTTTGCAAGTTGTCAAGTTCATGTCCTGAAATAGAACCTCTCAATATCCTTCAGCTATTTACGGACATGTTTCAGGGGAGGATACAGCTTTTTGAGAAAGCGGGTGCACACTATTGAGAAAGGGGAGGGGGTGGGTGGGGGGTGCACACTTCATTTAACAAGAGTTTCAATGGTCATTTAATAAACTTTCAGGACAAAAGGGGGTGGGTGCGCTCCCCTTCCCCGGCCCCCTCACCTGGATCCGCCTACGTGTTTATGTCAATTTAGAATTTAAACATACACCATTTGATTTATTAGTTATTTGAAGGGCACATAGAAGTGATTAACGTGAGTCATAGCATAACATCTTTGACTCTTTTCATTAGTGTCAATGCATTCAAACTTAAAGAGGATCTTTATTTGTTACGGTCTGACGCTTGACACTATTGGTAACGTGTATAGAATAATTCCTCGGTTTAGTATGTTTTCCTGCTCCGTTGTTATAACCATTAATTCCCTTTTGGAATGGACTGTTTCCAGACTTTTCCATGTACGACATTACATTCTATACATGTTTAATACACATATATATTCTTTTATTTCAACAATGGCAGGAAGAAGACAGGCGACATATCCATGACAGGGTTGATCAAGGTGGTGACGTCCAGTGACAGGAGGTTGCTGTGGATGTTGCTGTAGTTCGATGGTCAGACTTTACATCAAGACACAGCCATTGTTTTCTATACCCAAAATGCAGGTGCCATGGTACACCCATGTGTGACAAACTGCAGATATTTCAGACAGTCATCCGCAGAATGACTTGCACGCCCTGTGCTACAGAATGTTATGGTACTGGGTGCTGTCTGTATATTGCGCTCAGTATTTCACTATCATCAAGGCTCCAATCTATAATCTCTTCTGCTTCCCATTTTCCTCATCACATGACAGAATATCTGTTATCTCTAGATAAAAATTCCTGACAACTGACATTACGTTAAAGGCCAGAGTTCAGGATGTTCCCAGTGATGTCTGTTGATACGAGTAGTTTGGAAACCGATAAAAAATCCTCCTGGAACACTCTTTATTTTGAGAGAAAGCTGGAAGTAAGTCAAGCGCAACATGATCGCAGATTTGGTGTCCTCACTGAACTACATCCCATAAGAACTACAGATTAAAACAACACATATTATGGTCCAGTGCACAGATTAACTATACATGCTGTCACCTGCGTCTGCTTAATGGATTTGCCCAACAGAAAACAAAAAAATATTATTTGTTTGCCACTCATTTACATGCATCTTTCACGCCCACATTACAGAATTACAGATAATATAGATATAGATGTATAGATAGTTCATCTATAGATAGGCTTATATATTTAGTGTATATACTGGATTGCAGTCTTCTGTTTCCTCTGCAGCCTGTTTCACCTGTTGTGTAGTTTGCGATCGTTACAGGACCTTATCCCCGACTATAACTCTGGTTCGGATGGTCGGTTTGGTTGTAGTTTAACGCCGCACTCAGCAGTATTCCAGCTATATGGCGGCGGTCTGTAAATAATCGGGTCTGGACCAGACAATTCAGTAATCAACATCAAATCTCTTTATTCCATTACTGAAGAGGCCACAGGCCTATAGTACAAAATATAAAAACAATAATGGCATACAATCACAATGTTTGCAAACGTTATTTTCTTTGTTCAAAAGCATGGTGGATATACATACCAAGTTGACGAATATAAGTTGTATTATTAGAGTTCATTATCAAATTAAATTTAAACATGGTAGGATGTGAATAGTAATATTGTGGTAGATATTTTGTCCTTAAATCAGCATAGTAAGGACATACCAGCAAAAAGTGGAATTCATCTTCAATTACATTTAGTGCACAAAATTTGCACAATCAGTTTTCTCTTGGAATATTATAATATCTGCCCTTCTCGATCATAAGATCATGTGAAGAGCATCTAAATCTGGATAATGAAACGTGGAATTTTCTAAGATTAATATCGTGTAGGTATTGCTCTGTATGGAAAAAAGATTTCTACTAACGTGGTTGTTTGGATTGTTGCTCATGCTCCCGCCCACTTGCTTGGAACGTACATAGCTTGACTCGGCTTTAAACAACATTTAATGACTTAATTTGTATGATTTACATAACCCTGTTTGCATATTGAATTCGGCCATAATAATAATCATTTGTTAATGAAAGGTAAATGATTCTAGTTTATGCCAACTTCGGGGCCTTCAAATCCCCAGTTGAATATGATGTGAGATATTAGTGTAAGAAAACATAACGATATGATAGTGAGAACCAGGCTGATTGGGTGCGAGTCAGCCCAAGTTTGGTACGGGTCGACCAAAAAAGGTATGAATGCTCCAATTTGATGAAAAGTTTAGATTGGAGTTTGTATCTCACTGAAGAGTACGAATCTCCGTGGGTATGGACCGTCCAGTATAAGCCTGTGACGCCTCTCTCAGTAGAGACAGTGTTCGGTGTTGTGGAGCCCCGGAACACTGGTCAATTAGACTATTGCTTTGTCTATGAATACATATAATTTTGACAGAAACAAATGATTGCTGGTCGGGAGAGATATCTGTGAAATCATCTCTGAATTTAAATGACTGACGTTATTGGTGGTGGACACCCGCTTTTGATAGGTACACGTAATTTTTTGGGACAAACATCCGTATTGTTAAGGTATAGAGGTGGCCGGGTTGTCCCCTTACAACGAAATGTTACGTGTCATGCGAATCAGTTCATTGTACCGTACAGGCTACGTAGAAGCTGGTAGCACAGTATTGTTGATAATGTATGGTAACAATAATTCAGTAATTACTGCGTACAACACGCCTGGTCAAGTGTACATGCTGGAGATGAGGCGGGTGCTACCAGCATGATGAATACACACATCCACCTCTGACAGCGTCCTCTACATGTCTTTTGACCTACACATCACGGCCCCAAATAACCGCCTACGAATTTTGCTTTTAATCCAGAAACCTCATGATCAAGTGCAAGCGTCCACTTACAGTCACACGCATTATTCAATATTTTGTCATCAAAACGTATATTACCAACATACCAACAAATGCTTGAAAACGCAGTTGACTGAGGAACCGTTCATAATGTATCATAATTTATGGCGCGCGCGTGTGTGTGTGCGCGCGCGTGCGTGCGCGTGTGTGTGCCTGTGTGTGTGTGAGGGGCACCCATTGTTCTGGGGAAGAACGTGGGTCATCAATTATTTTTGTACACATGTACTGGTTGGGGTGGGATAGGGGGTGGCAGCAATTTTGTACATGACATGCAGGAGGGTCACTTACTTTTTACATATTGTACATGCTTCCCCATACAAATTCATCATAAATCCCACCCACACCCACACCACACCACACACACACACCGCCATAAATTATTCAAACGGTTCCTTACGGACATCCTCAGGAGGATTTTGTCTTGATAAATCATTAATGGAATTTTACTGGCCAAAACTTCACACCGTCATATAAGTGCTTCTATAAATAGTAACATTGAGTGAATGGATTGTCATGTTTCGTAAAAATTTCCACCTGTATCCCATTAAATTAATGTATATCTTCGGACTGAGCTGTCCCCTGGCTGCTTAGTTTTGACTGTAACAGGGATTCAGAAATAAAATTTAAATTATAATAAAATATATAAATAAATAAATAAAATAAAAATGTTACAATGATTTTAAGATCTACTTTTGAACACACAGACTGGGGGGATTTTCTATTTCAACCAAACGAAAGTACGCTTATTTAGAGTAGCCTCCCTTTACATGCCGCTCGTAGCGCTTCAGTTCCAATGTTTTCAGAATGGAGTGGAGGCGTGGTGGATTTGGATGATGCCTCTAAATATTATCTAGTTTTCTCTGTCGTGCATGTTTAGAAGTAATGAAATCTTAATATATGTTTTGCAAGTGACACCAATGTGCGAATAATTGCAATATGACTTCTCGTGGATCAACTACACTACTCAATTTCTTCATTTTCAACTCCGAATATGGACCCCGCGAGGGGGAGGTGAGATCATTTGACTGCAGCTGACATTTATGATTATAGATCTATCATAACAAGCAACCTGTCTGTGTTAACTGTGTGCACCAGGGCAGAATAACGTATATATAATATGTCTTGCATAAGACGTATGAATGATAAAGTCATAAATATCCGCCATGACTTGCAGAAACGTTTGTACATGATATGTTTGTAACATAACATTTCGGTTTTAACTCCTCGATGAGCAGTGTAGACTTGACATCTGTTCTGCTGAAACAAACACCTGAGTAGTACTGGATGTGACCATCTATGTGTCATAGTAAGGTGAGGGTGGCACAGTCTTTGCTGTGTAGAGTTGTGTCCCCTGGGTCTATGCACATGAGTTTGTGCCCCCCAGTTACACTGATTATAAACCATGGGCCCCATGCACCAAACCAATGCTTGTGGGTTTCATCACCAAGGAAATGTTGAAGACATGTATTATTTCCTCTGGGATTTCCTCTCACATCAATCTGCTATGCAGTAGTATGACTGAAAACATGTTCAAAGCAGCATAAGACACACAACCTGTCACTGACTTTAAATGAAGTTCTGCTCAAAATGGAATACAAACCCCCTTCCCAGCCCCTGGCTCAGCTCTGTTCCAAACTCCTGCTTATAACAAATTAACATGTGGAAGGTTTGTTGTGACTTGATAGGCAACCAGTTATTGTTGAAGACATGTCGCAAAACCCTTCTAAAGCCCAATGATGACTTGAATTTTCATTTATTGGGTGAAAGTGGCTTTAGAATATGATTATGTAAACAATAACAATGATTAATGATCATTTTATGAGCAAGCTAGACACACACCTTGCCTCTGTGTAACTAGACAGTGGGATAAATACACTGTATGTAAGGTAACTATATATAAAATCAATAGATGCTGCACATATTGCAATGGAAGCTCTAATAAATAATCAATAGTGCAGAAATAGGTCACCAGTCATGGTATACGGCAATATTTTTATCTTTGACTTTGTGACACTAGCTTGAAATAGATATTGCATATATTTTGTGATGTTGGCAGCAACATTATTGCATAATTGGACCAAAAATACACCAATAGCACTATTATTTATTTTAAAGAAACTACGCATCTACACACTGTCACATTGTTAATAACACTGCACTTCAACCTAGTTATTGATAGTTATGTCATGTTATTTCATCCCTGTATTGTGACATCACTAGTCATGTGTTGTAATTTAGAGGTTTATTTATGATACCTAATGCAAATCTTGTGACATGGTGAGTGATTTCCCGAAATCGTTACTCGACATAACAGTAGATTTGCTGAAACTGTGATGACTGAAGCTGGTGGTTTCTCTTTTGCAGGAAGAAAAGAAAATAATGTTCTATCATCCAAATACAACTGACATTGATACAAAGATCAAGAATATTGGGCTGAGTGAAGCCATTGTAAAATTTACAGAGTAAGCAAAATCATCTCTTTCTGTATGATTTATGTTGTAGTTTGTGTTTGTTTTATTATTTAATAAAGAATTCATAGAATAATTCTGATAGATAAGTAAACAAGTTGGAAACATATAACTTTTCAACTCTTTTCAAATCATCCTACGCCATCTTGACTGGATATTCTTTCCATGACTTACCGTTGTACTTTGTGTGTTATTTTCTGCATGTTTTACAACAATTCAACTTTTGTCTGTCTGCAGGACTTTCTCTGATAAGCCATGTGAAAGTGTACACACCCTGAAAACCAGGCAACTCTTTCTGGAACCAGAGCCCAACTTTTGGATGGTGTTGGTAATTACAGTTGAAACAGTTTCTGCAGTTGATAAATCCTGCAAAGAAAGATATTGACAGAAAGTTTTTAAGCTATTAGAAGTAAACATTTTTAAAAGCTATTTTTTTTTCCATGATTTTACTTTTTTTAGAAGTGTTATAAATTTCTGAGTGAAAAAGATCCCTAACCCCAACTGTAACCATAACCCTAGTGTATATATGTAATGTATGCAAGTGATGTCTTTATATTGTATAAAAATATATACATGTACATGATTTCACTGGGCAGGATACATTGGAGAGATTTTGTAATGCTCAGGTTTCTGATTGCAGACTGTCTCGATTCCATTTTCTGAGAAAACCAAAGATGGCAAATCTTACATAGAATACCGTGAAGACGACATCCAAGACTCAGTGTTTGAGGCAGTTGTGAGGCAGTCCTATCGAATGTTTCAGGTCAGCAGATTGAAACATATATACATTTACTTCAATCACATAGAGAAGTGTACAAGCATGTTTTTTGAAGGGACAGTGTGTTGGTCAACTACAATATATGTGACTGTGAGACCAGACACCTCTCTAAACTCTCTCTACATGATGATTTGATGAACACTCTACACGAATGCTTCAGGTGAATTTTCTGATCAGGCAGCTTGTGCATATTATCTGACATTTGTATTTCATAAAATGAACTTAAACCGTCAGTTTCAAATGAAGAAAAAAAGGCAGTGGTGTATATGTTGTTCATATTCACTACACTGTTATTTCTGATTTACATGGCTTCTATACCCAAAAGTGTACTATCCAGGAGGTTCTGTTTGGGTTTCTGTTTTGGGATCAAAAATCATGTTGAAATTGTGAAATGGAGGTGGTAGGGAATAGAAGGGAATGACTCAATGAGCTGATACATCCTTCATTTAGTTTGGGCAATGGAAGTTTGCTCCAGGCTTATCCCATATTTTCAAGGTTTTGTCAGATCTTCATGCAGAGAGATGTCCTACAGGAGTAAACGTTTATTTTTAACTTGATCATGGATAATCGCTACTTCTATCATTACTGATGTTGAACATTGTAGTGTTATGTGAATCACTTCTAAATGCCATTTGTAGTCTTGATGTTCAGGATCTGTCTCCTCCCCAGTATACAGTCAGGTAAATAATGACTGACTGGCCCTATCACTGAGTCGACGATCCTTATGTAAGAGGTATTCAGGTATAGCTCCGAGCAAAAAACATCAGACACTTACAAAAAGTTGTTTGGTCGCCGTGCGGTGAATTCGAACTTGTTTGTGTAATATTTTGCACCGCTGACAACAGTATGACGTTTTCAGCATTATCTCCCCTGTCGTTGGGCCGGGTCATGTGATGACGGTGTAGCAGACAATTTCCTAGTTACCGACGTCATGTCGAAATCTGATCGACTTCTCGCTTTATATGAAGCAGGGTGCAAATCAGTTCAGAAGTTACAGAAAATATTGGGACTTCCTCGGAGTACCATTTACCGACTTATTGCCAGATTTCAAGCTGCTGGCAGTTTTCAGCGCAAGCCGGGATCGGGATGTCCTTGTAAACTCGGAAATGACAGGAGACGACTCACACAACTGGCAGCAGTGCCTCCAAACTGGTCGGCCAAACAACTGGGTGAGCGTGCCACAGCTTTAGGGAGTACTAGAGTATCTGAATGGACTGTAAGGCGGAATTTAAAAGAATCAGGAATCGTGAAGAAAGTGCCGACAAAGGTTCTGTTGATGACGCAAGAGCACAAGCGGAAAAGACAGGAGTGGTGTGAGCGTAATTTTCAAACTGATTATTTACAGACGAATCGAAATTCCAATTTTTTTCGAAATTACAAGGAAAAGGTGGTGTCGAAATGAAAAATGCGAAAAATTGTGCCCAAAGTTTTCGCCTTCTGTTATGGTGTGGGGTGGGATCGGGAAATTTGGGTAAACGCCGCTTCTGGATACTACAGGCCGCATTGATTCAAGCAAGTACTGTGAGCATTTGCAAGAGGGACTGCTAGATTCAAATATCAGACAGACTGGAATTCCCTATGTAATGCAACAAGATAATGCCTGCATACACACGTCCACCTACAACCGAAGCTTGGCTTTGTCAGAACTGCATTCAGGTAGTGCAGTTTCCGGCCGCTTCACCAGACCTGAACCCCATCGAAAATGTCTGGCAAATCATCAAGGACAGAGTGGAAAAGTTGGAACCGAAAGACATTGCAGATTGGAAACGAGTGATTCATGAAACGTCGTACGAGCTATCTGAGGATCTGATAGACAATCTTGTAAATTCCATGCCTCGGCAGATTGAACAGTGTTTGGAGCGAAATGGTGGACTGACTATTGACTTATTGTGAACAATTTAACAATGCATTGTCTACATGTGTGCCAATTTTCATAAATTTATGTCAGTTATTAAATCAAGACGTTGAATCAAAACTTGTCTCATTTTTTTTGCTCAGTACTGCATGTGAACTAGTTGTGGTCAACATGGATGTGTAGGTAGTATGGGTAGTACCAGCACACTTGGTCAGAACAACAACAGCTGGTACATGGTCTCTTTTTGTTCATCATATGCTACATGTTTTTATAGTGTATTTATGACAATATACATTCAATATGTTACAGTTCTTTAATGGGACCTTTGAAAACATTCTTGAAAGAGCAGATCGCAATGTCCAGTCTCTCATACAACGCTTGGATCATTTCTTTTCAAGGGTGAGTGTGTGTGCACTAATGTCATGTTAGCAGACCATGGATTCTGTGGCCCCAAGACTTTAGTTGTTCTTGTCAGGGATGAACAGTAACAATGAAAACTGGAAATTAAGATTGTTGAGTTTGACTAAACATATTCCTATTCTGATCATCTTTTGTTTGTCATTTTGTTTTCAGTCCGGAGTCTGTTTAGGAAACTGATATAAATAATCATGGTTTATGTTGCAACTTGATCCTCGGAAAATTGATCCTGAACATGTATAAAGGGAACAATCAGGTTAATAGACAATATTAAAAGAATTCAGGTACATTATTTGCTGACCCATACAGGGTCATTGTAAGATTAAGCCATGGAATTACCTTCCCTAACATCAATGAACCTCTGAAGTGTTGTTTTCTCCTACCGTGATGCAGCACTATTCATGGAAGTAATGTAAACATGGTATTGGGTAATTGACGGTAGCAACATCCCACTTTTGATTGAATGCTGGCTGACTTCAGTCTGTAGCAATGGTCACCGGATATATATTAAGCCAACCAGTCACTTTGCTAAATAATACTGATATATGTTGTCTATAGCAGGGCTAAACTTCACCCTATCACTATCTGGTTGCTGCTCCCGCCAGTCATTCAGATCCCCTTGTTTACATACGTCAGTGGTAGAGGTGGGACTCTAGGAACACCTGCAGCCTCTTGATGTTGTTGCTCTTTCCATGTGTCTGGAGGAAAATGTCATACGTTTGTTGCAGTATTTATTAACACTCCGTCTACACCAAAGTGATATCCTTGATGTGTTCAACGGCATCCACTTCCTTCCGCTGGACAAGAACACGTACCTCCGCATCCAGTGCTTCATCAACCATCTGGAAGCCACCTTCCCCTCAGTCAAGTACACCGCCTTCCTCTACAACGACCAGCTTGTCTGGTGAGGCCTCACTTGAGGAACAACCAGTTCCTCAAACAATGCAACCTTAGTTACAAAAGGCAATGTTTAGCCTCGATTATTTTCTGGGGCAGTGGGGTAGCCTAATGGTTAAAGCGTTGGCTCGTCACGCCGAAGACCCGGGTTCGAATCCCCACATTGGCACAATGTGTGAAGCCCATTTCTGGTGTCCCCTGCCGTGATGTTGCTGGAATATTGCTAAAAGCGGCGTAAAACTAAAACTCAGTCGATTATTTTCTGGGAGTAGACACGCTGACTCCTGCAGGGCTCGTAGCCTGCATTGTGCCACTTGGACTTTGATACTACTTCTAGTCATGGATTAGAGGCTTGTGTTAGTTTGTAATGTTGTATATGCATATCAACCAGCTTAATGTTCATAGAGGTATTTGGGGTCATAGAGGTAACACCAGACCTGTAAACTGCCACAGTTCACTATACAGAGTTACATCCCTTAGTCATGCCAGGATTTAATGATCATGTTTTCAATTCCCAGTAAGCTGTATTATTTTCCCAGATATTGAACCTTGTTGAGCACCATACTTCTGGTAATGGTTGGTAATAATGGACCACCTGTATCATTTAATATCATTGTTAGTGACATAGTGTGAAATGTAAGCAGTTTGGTAGGTTTGCTTTCAGCATGAATATTACGTCAGTTCATTATGATCATACATGGTGTCTTTTCTCCATGTGTATGTTGCTCATGTTGCAGGAGTGGTTTGAACCAGGATGACATGCGAATCATGTATAAGTACCTGACCACCAGCCTCTTCCCCTCTCACATGGAGCAGGAGTTGCATGGTGTTGGACAATCTCGCTCCCCATCTGCCGGACAGACACCGCACTTTGCTCAGTGAGTACACTGATGTTTGATCATGATCATACACGATCAATGCCCCAAGTTATGTACAAATCTGGTGATCATACAATTCCACACAGGTTTTGAGCTTTTCCACTTGAAAATGATGGATATCTGTTAATAGGATGATGATCGTATTTTGATATGAGCATGTTAGATCCAACTTTTAGAGGCATTTTGAACTGTCAGATTAGCAACACAGTGATGGGGTTCTGTATTACTGAACAAAGCCATATAAATGACATTCCAAAGATATGCAAACGTAGGGTTTAAACTGTTTATAATAACAAAGATGATGCTTACTTGTTGCAGATTTATCGCTGGTCCCCCAAACTTGAAGGATGAAGGTAACTTGGGGAAGATCCCCCGAGTCTTCATCAACACAGAGGAAGAGAATGAGGAATGCCAGCTGCTTGTTTACAAAGCCATGAGCTCCAGTATCTGTATGCTGGTCAACAGTGAGTATAGCCATTAGCTATGGTATCTGTATGCTGGTCAACAGTGAATATAGCCATTAACTCCAGTATCTGTATGGCCATGGTCAACAGTGAGTATAGCCATTAACTCCAGTATCTGTATGCTGGTCAACAGTGAGTATAGCCATTAACTCCAGTATCTGTATGCTGGTCAACAGTGAGTATAGCCATTAACTCCAGTATCTGTATGCTGGTCATGAAAGTATAGCCATTAACTCCAGTATCTGTATGCTGGTCAACAGTGAGTATAGCCATTAACTCCAGTATCTGTATGCTGGTCAACAGTGAGTATAGCCATTAACTCCAGTATCTGTATGCTGGTCAACAGTGAGTATAGCCATTAACTCCAGTATCTGTATGCTGGTCAACAGTGAGTATAGCCATTAACTCCAGTATCTGTATGCTGGTCAACAGTGAGTATAGCCATTAACTCCAGTATCTGTATCTGTATGCTGGTCAACAGTGAGTATAGCCATTAACTCCAGTATCTGTATGCTGTCAACAGTGAGTATAGCCATTAACTCCAGTATCTGTATGGGTCAACAGTGAGTATAGCCATTAACTCCAGTATCTGTATGCTCAACAGTGAGTCATTAACAGTGATGTAACAGTGAGCCATTAACTCCAGTATCTGTATGCTGGTCAACAGTGAGTATAGCCATTATCTCAACAGTATTAACTGTATGCTATGCTGGTCAACAGTGAGTATAGCCATTAACTCCAGTATCTGTATGCCATGAGTAACTAACCCAGTATCTGTATGCTGGTCAACAGTGAGTATAGCCATTAACTCCTCCAGTATCTGTATGCTGGTCAACAGTGAGTATAGCCATTAACTCCAGTATCTGTATGCTGGTCAACAGTGACATATTAACCATTAACTGTATGCTGGTCAACAGAGTATAGCCATAGCCATTAACTCCAGTATCTGTATGCTGGTCAACAGTGAGTATAGCCATTAACTCCAGTATCTGTATGCTGGTCAACAGTGAGTAGTATAGCCATTAACTCCAGTATCTGTATGCTGGTCAACAGTGAGTATAGCCATTAACTCCAGTATCTGTATGCTGGTCAACAGTGAGTATAGCCATTAACTCCAGTATCTGTATGCTGGTCAACAGTGAGTATAGCCATTAACTCCAGTATCTGTATGCAACAGTGAGTGGTCAACAGTGAGTATAGCCATTAACTCCAGTATCTGTATGCTGGTCAACAGTGAGTATAGCCATTAACTCCAGTATCTGTATGCTGGTCAACAGTGAGTATAGCCATTAACTCCAGTATCTGTATGCTGGTCAACAGTGAGTATAGCCATTAACTATGCTGGTCAACAGTATAGCCATTAACTCCAGTGTATGCTGGTCAACAGTGATTAACTCCAGTATCTATATGCTGCCATTAATATAATGCCATTAACTCCAGTATCCAGAGTATCTGTATGCTGGTCAACAGTGAGTATAGCCATTAACTCCAGTATCTGTATGCTGGTCAACAGTGAGTATAGCCATTATAGCCATTAACTCAGTATCTGTATGCTGGTCAACAGTGAGTATAGCCATTAACTCCAGTATCTGTATGCTGGTCAACAGTGAGTATAGCCATTAACTCCAGTATCTGTATGCTGGTCAACAGTGAGTATAGCCATTAACCTATCTGTATGCCAGCAGTCCCAGTATCTGTATGCTGGTCAACAGTGAGTATAGCCATTAACTCCAGTATCTGTATGCTGGTCAACAGTGAGTATAGCCATTAACTCCAGTATCTGTATGCTGGTCAACAGTGAGTATAGCCATTAACTCCAGTATCTGTATTAACAGTGAGTATAGCCATTAACTCCAGTATCTGTATGCTGGTCAACAGTGAGTATAGCCATTAACTCCAGTATCTGTATGCTGGTCAACAGTGAGTATAGCCATTAACTCCAGTATCTGTATGCTGGTCAACAGTGAGTATAGCCATTAACTCCAGTATCTGTATGCTGGTCAACAGTGAGTATAGCCATTAACTCCAGTATCTGTATGCTGGTCAACAGTGAGTATAGCCATTAACTCCAGTATCTGTATGTATCTGCTGGTCAACAGTGAGTATAGCCATTAACTCCAGTATCTGTATGCTGGTCAAACAGTGATGCTATAGCCATTAACTCCAGTATCTGTATGCTGGTCAACAGTGAGTATAGCCATTAACTCCAGTATCTGTATGCTGGTCAACAGTGAGTATAACTCCAGTATCCATTAACTCCAGTATCTGTATGCTGGTCAACAGTGAGTATAGCCATTAACTCCAGTATCTGTATGCTGTATGCTCAACAGTGAGTATAGCCATTAACTCCAGTATCTGTATGCTGGTCAACAGTGAGTATAGCCATTAACTCCAGTATCTGTATGCTGGTCAACAGTGAGTATAGCCATTAACTCCAGTATCTGTATGCTGGTCATGAGTATAGGTCAACAGTGAGTATAGCCATTAACTCCAGTATCTGTATGCTGGTCAACAGGTCAATAGCATGCTGGTCAACAGTGAGTATAGCCATTAACTCCAGTATCTGTATGCTGGTCAACAGTGAGTATAGCCATTAACTCCAGTATCTGTATGCTGGTCAACAGTGAGTATAGCCATTAACTCCAGTATCTGTATGCTGGTCAACAGTGAGTATAGCCATTAACTCCAGTATCTGTATGCTGGTCAACAGTGAGTATAGCCATTAACTCCAGTATCTGTATGCTGGTCAACAGTGAGTATAGCCATTAACTCCAGTATCTGTATGCTGGTCAACAGTTAGCCATTAACTCCAGTATCTGTATGCTGGTCAACAGTGAGTATAGCCATTAACTCCAGTATCTGTATGCTATCAACAGTGAGTATAGTTAACTCCAGTATCTGTATGTCAACAGTGAGTATAGCCATTAACTCCAGTATCTGTATGCTGGTCAACAGTGAGTATAGCCATTAACTCCAGTATCTGTATGCTGGTCAACAGTGAGTATAGCCATTAACTCCAGTATCTGTATGCTGGTCAACAGTGAGTATAGCCATTAACTCCAGTATCTGTATGCTGGTCAACAGTGAGTATAGCCATTAACTCCAGTATCTGTATGCTGGTCAACAGTGAGTATAGCCATTAACTCCAGTATCTGTATGCTGGTCAACAGTGAGTATAGCCATTAACTCCAGTATCTGTATGCTGGTCAACAGTGAGTATAGCCATTAACTCCAGTATCTGTATGCTGGTCAACAGTGAGTGTTGCTAACAGTAAGTATAGCCATTAACTCCAGTATCTGTATGCTGGTCAACAGTGAGTATAGCCATTAACTCCAGTATCTGTATGCTGGTCAACAGTGAGTATAGCCATTAACTCCAGTATCTGTATGTATGCTGGTCAACAGTGAGTATAGCCATTAACTCCAGTATCTGTATGCTGGTCAACAGTGAGTATAGCCATTAACTCCAGTATCTGTATGCTGGTCAACAGTGAGTATAGCCATTAACTCCAGTATCTGTATGCTGGTCAACAGTGAGTATAGCCATTAACTCCAGGTATCTGTATGCTGGTCAACAGTGAGTATAGCCATTAACTATCAGTATCTGTATGCTGGTCAGCAGTGAGTATAGCCATTAACTCCAGTATCTGTATGCTGGTCAACAGTGAGTATAGCCATTAACTCCAGTATCTGTATGCTGGTCAACAGTGAGTATAGCCATTAACTCCAGTATCTGTATGCTGGTCAACAGTGAGTATAGCCATTAACTCCAGTATCTGTATGCTGGTCAACAGTGAGTATAGCCATTAACTCCAGTATCTGTATGCTGGTCAACAGTGAGTATAGCCATTAACTCCAGTATCTGTATGCTGGTCAACAGTGAGTATAGCCATTAACTCCAGTATCTGTATGCTGGTCAACAGTGAGTATAGCCATTAACTCCAGTATCTGTATGCTGGTCAACAGTGAGTATAGCCATTAACTCCATCTGTATCTGTATGCTGGTCAACAGTGAGTATAGCCATTAACTCCAGTATCTGTATGCTGGTCAACAGTGAGTATAGCCATTAACTCCAGTATCTGTATGCTGGTCAACAGTGAGTATAGCCATTAACTCCAGTATCTGTATGCTGGTCAACAGTGAGTATAGCCATTAACTCCAGTATCTGTATGCTGGTCAACAGTGAGTATAGCCATTAACTCCAGTATCTGTATGCTGGTCAACAGTGAGTATAGCCATTAACTCCAGTATCTGTATGCTGGTCAACAGTGAGTATAGCCATTAACTCCAGTATCTGTATGCTGGTCAACAGTGAGTATAGCCATTAACTCCAGTATCTGTATGGTCAACAGTGAGTATAGCCATTACAGTGTATGTATGAGCCATTAACTCCAGTATCTGTATGCTGGTCAACAGTGAGTATAGCCATTAACTCCAGTATCTGTATGCTGGTCAACAGTGAGTATAGCCATTAACTCATTATTAACTCCAGCTGTATGCTGGTCAACAGTGAGTATATCTCCAGTATCTGTATGCTGGTCAACAGTGAGTATAGCCATTAACTATAGCCATTATAGCTTAACTCAGTATCTGTATGCTGGTCAACAGTGAGTATAGCCATTAACTCCAGTATCTGTATGCTGGTCAACAGTGAGTATAGCCATTAACTCCAGTATCTGTATGCTGGTCAACAGTGAGTATAGCCATTAACTCCAGTATCTGTATGCTGGTCAACAGTGAGTATAGCCATTAACTCCAGTATCTGTATGCTGGTCAACAGTGAGTATAGCCATTAACTCCAGTATCTGTATGCTGGTCAACAGTGAGAGCCATTATAGCTGTATGCATTAACCATCTCCAGTATCTGTATGCTGGTCAACAGTGAGTATAGCCATTAACTCCAGTATCTGTATGCTGGTCAACAGTGAGTATAGCCATTAACTCCAGTATCTGTATGCTGGTCAACAGTGAGTATAGCCATTAACTCCAGTATCTGTATGCTGGTCAACAGTGTATAACCATCAGTATCTGTATGCTGGTCAACAGTGAGTATAGCCATTAACTCCAGTATCTGTATGCTGGTCAACAGTGAGTATAGCCATTATCTGTATGCTGGTCAACAGTGAGTATAGCCATTAACTCCATATCTGTATGCTGGTCAACAGTGAGTATAGCCATTAACTCCAGTATCTGTATGCTGGTCAACAGTGAGTATAGCCATTAACTCCAGTATCTGTATGCTGGTCAACAGTGAGTATAGCCAATCAGCTGATAGCCATTAACTATATCTGCCAACAGTGAGTATAGCCATTAACTCCAGTATCTGTATGCTGGTCAACAGTGATGTATAGCCATTAACTCCAGTATCTGTATGCTGGTCAACAGTGAGTATAGCCATTATATGCTGGTCAACAGTGAGTATAACCATTAACTCAGTATCTGTATGCTGGTCAACAGTGAGTATAGCCATTAACTCCAGTATCTGTATGCTGGTCAACAGTGAGTATAGCCATTAACTCCAGTATCTGTATGCTGGTCAACAGTGAGTATAGCCATTAACTATCTGTATGTATCTGCCATTATGCTGGTCAACAGTGAGTATAGCCATTAACTCCAGTATCTGTATCTGCTGGGTCAACAGTGAGTATAGCCATTAACTCCAGTATCTGTATGCTGGTCAACAGTGAGTATAGCCATTAACTCCAGTATCTGTATGCTGGTCAACAGTGAGTATAGCCATTAACTCTATCTGTATGTATCTGTATGCTGGTCAACAGTGAGTATAGCCATTAACTCCAGTATCTGTATGCTGGTCAACAGTGAGTATAGCCATTAACTCCAGTATCTGTATGCTGGTCAACAGTGAGTATAGCCATTAACTCCAGTATCTGTATGCTGGTCAACAGTGAGTATAGCCATTAACTCCAGTATCTGTATGCTGGTCAACAGTGAGTATAGCCATTAACTCCAGTATCTGTATGCTGGTCAACAGTGAGTATAGCCATTAACTCCAGTATCTGTATGCTGGTCAACAGTGAGTATAGCCATTAACTCCAGTATCTGTATGCTGGTCAACAGTGAGTATAGCCATTAACTCCAGTATCTGTATGCTGGTCAACAGTGAGTATAGCCATTAACTCCAGTATCTGTATGCTGGTCAACAGTGAGTATAGCCATTAACTCCAGTATCTGTATGCTGGTCAACAGTGAGTATAGCCATTAACTCCAGTATCTGTATGCTGGTCAACAGTGAGTATAGCCATTAACTCCAGTATCTGTATGCTGGTCAACAGTGAGTATAGCCATTAACTCCAGTATCTGTATCTGGTCATCAGTGAGTCAGCATTGAGTATCTGTATGCTGGTCAACATTAAGTATAGCCATTATCTCCAGTATGTATGGGTCAACAGTGAGTATAGCCATTAACTCCAGTATCTGTATGCTGGTCAACAGTGAGTATAGCCATTAACTCCAGTATCTGTATGCTGGTCAACAGTGAGTATAGCCTCCATAGCCATTAACTCCAGTATAGCCATTAACTCCAGTATCTGTATGCTGGTCAACAGTGAGTATAGCCATTAACTCCAGTATCTGTATGCTGGTCAACAGTGAGTATAGCCATTAACTCCAGTATCTGTATGCTGGTCAACAGTGAGTATAGCCATTAACTCCAGTATCTGTATGTTGGTCAACAGTGAGTATTGCTAACAGTGAGTATTTTGCTGTCTGACATGATATTGATGTAAACTGAAGGCCTTCAAAGGGTTGTAAACAACTTATGGATTTGTTATTGTAACATGAGGACTTTGTGTACATTTTGTTTCAGCCAAGAATACAGTATCATTTGACATGTGTCGGAAGTTGGATGGTTTCCTTGGTCCCCAGATGAGCAAGTTGTCGTCTGACATCAGCGAGCAGTACTCCAAGAGACCAGCAGCTCTCAGGTACATGGTGGATCTCACTGCCACAGTGTCATCTGGTGGTCCTAACGTGTGAACTAGTTGCTTGTGTAACACTGTACTCCATTCACATGGATCTTACATCCTACTATGTTCAGCCAGACTTGATTATGTAGAGGTTGCCATGATATAGACACAATATTGCTCATTGTAACATGGAACAGCTCTGTCACGGAAGTGGGAACACTAACTGCTCTGTCACAGAAGTGGGGCACTGATTCACTGAAGACACTGAAGTGGGGCACAAATGACTTGGTTACAGGAGTAGGGGCACCAATGACTGATTCACTTAAATGACTGGGGCACAAATGACTGATTCACTCAAGTGTGGGCACAAGTGGCTCAGTCACTGATGTTGGGGCACAAAGGACTATCACTGAATTGGGTGAACAAAGGTCTCATCAGTGAAGTCGGGGCACAAATGACTTGTCACTGATATGAGGGCACCAATGACTCAGTCACTGACAGATGACCCCAATGCCTGGATCACTGTTTTCAAAGCAGCTATAAACCCAACTGATTGACCATGTCCCTTAACATGTTGATGTAGTGTGATCTGAAGCCAGAGCTATTTCGAGGCAGTTAACCGTGATGAGAAGTGTAAGTGTTTGTCCTGCTTGTTTTACAGCACCACAGATCCCCAGTTTAAGTATATCTACTTCAACCACATGAACCTGGCGCAGAAGACCACAGTCCACATCGAGATCCGGAAACTCACGGGGGTCAACATTCCCCAGGAGACCCTGCGACTACTGGCGGACATCAATGCTGACCTCACAAGGTACAGCAGATGACATAATACTTTGGTCATGACATGATATGCAAACACTATTAAAGTGTTAATCATTTCTGTGTATATTTTCACGGAAAAAAATATAAAATGTTGATAATGCAGTGTTTTAAAAACACCAAGTAAACATCAGCAGTTCTAGAAATGGTTAATTGCTGTGCGATTTTTTTTAACTTTATCCTGTCTTTAACAAAGATATCTTAGGTAGAACAGTCCTTCCTACCAAAACATAACATACATTTTGGCTTGCAAGTAAGTACCATTACCTCTGAAGTTTATTTGCTGACAACAAAATGGTTTTATTGTAGTTATAGTTTGTGAGTGAATGTTGTTTCCAGGGGTAACGAGGATGGTGAAACAATAGTGAAGACACTCTCAGACTATTGGGTGGTTGGGAAGAAATCCGACCAGCGGGAGTTCTATGTCGTCATCAATCAGAAGAATGCCAATCTCATAGAAATCAATGGTAAGTATGTCATCAGTGAAAGTGTGATTGAATTTCTGTCTGTTATTTGTTCTGCACATCTGTATGTGAAAACTAAAGAATAAATATTAGATTTAGTGTTGATCAAAGATCTACTATCTAATAATAACGTCAACTATTCGTTTGTGATGCCCTATATTAGGTTAACAGAAGATTGTTCTCTAAACCTAAATATTCCTATGTAAGCATTATCGAATCCATATGGAACGTCAACACGAAAACAGAATGTTGGCATTGTATTTAGCAACCCATTTTCTTCATGGACCATACATAATTCTCAATAATCTTTCTTATTAACCTGATGAATTTTCCTTTCTTTGATACTAAGAAGAGAAGAGGCACATTTCTGAGACAAGAAACCCACAATCTTGTCCAAATATGATTCCAGCATCCCTCATGTTCAACAAATTACCAAATTTATATTGATATTCAGATAAGATAAAAAGAAAACCTTTCACCCCCACTATTCATTGACACAACCTAACATGCATCAAGAGTGATCTCCCCTGATGTGAGTAGCTGTCACCGGGCACTTGTTATTCCTTGTGTATTTTTGTTACAGAGGAAGTGAAGAAACTATGCTCAATGCACCTCAACAGTATATTCTTCCTGGACTGATGGCCATCACCTGTAAATAATATGCAATCTGTCAGGATGCATGTATAAACTGTACACTAGTTGTGGACATGCCTGGCCACAGACAGAAACATGACAGTACTGTTGTCATGTGTCATGTTCATATGGACAGTTTAATTTCAAGACAAATAGGATATCCAAATTGGTTTGAATGTAACTTATTTGCATGTTTAAGCCGACATTATGGACATAGGCATTGTTTTGAAAATATTTCTTGTGATCTCCATCAAGGGCGTAGCATACCTGTAAAGTGATAATACATTAGAAATATTATAGTGTTGCAAATTTCAAGATATCAAGTTGTAATAATGCCATTAACATGTATACTGGTAAACATTAAAAAATCCTGAAAATGTTTTCTCCAAATGAGCATTATTATGACATACTCACCAAGATTTGTCCAGCTTGTCCAGTCCTACCAAAACAGCTTTAGCTACCTCTGAAGCAAGTAGCCATGTATCTGTCAGTCATACTTCTCAACAAGATCTTTTACAATAGACACATTATCAGAAAATCAGTTTAAGTAATTTGTTAATGTTACTATTATTGATGTGAAACATTTTGTTAGATTAATGGCAGAAGATGGACAAATAGATGTTTATCTCAATGTTTGTTTGTTACTGAAAGATACAATCTTTCACACGCAGGTTTTGTGAACAATGATTAATCATGACATCAGAGCAGAATCGCAGATAAATACTTGATGCACAGTTATTGTGTAAAAGAGAAATTTTCATAACCATTATTTTTGTCAGCCCAAATCATCCTGCTTTATTGTGTTGATAATTGTCCCATGAGATGCAAAAGCTGTTGTGCAAGTAGCTATAAGTTGAAAGTGTAATCCTGACTGTGTATCAGCTGAGTGTCCTTCAGATGAGAATTACACAGATATACACTGTACACTGTATATATATTTATATGCCAGTGCATGGACAGTATGTTTATTCTGCTGTATATTAAATATGTTATTATGGTATTTTTTTGTAAATAAATTATACTCAAAGATTCTTCATTTGTATATTTTCATGTGTGTATTCAATATGTTATTTATAAGACCATATTTGACTTAATATCACCAACATGCAGTGCACAAAACAGTTAGAGAACACTCACCTTGGCTGCAAAACAGCTGGTCAAAGAATAGTAGATGTTCCTCATTAGATATAACAAATCTAATGTGATTGAAGTCAGTGGAGTAGATGTGTGTAGAAGGAGGGTTTATATAGAGAATAAGTATGGTTATCGAGTCCATCCTGACTGTCTTGCTTGAATATTGGTATTTACTCCAATTATGGATAACATTGAAGCTGAAATAGTATGTACATATTGATGCTCCCATAGACAAGAACAGTTTTCTAACATTTGAAGTCCAAGTGTTAGTTTTTAAAATATGCACTGACTTACAGATACATTACATAAAACATACTTTACTGGCTTGAGGAGAAACATTTAAAATAGGATTAAACAATTTCAGAGAAAACAAAACTAGAAGGTGTGTGTGTGCGCGTGCGTGCGTGCGTGCGTGATATCTCTGTCATACCATTATATGTGTGATTTATAGGTCTGTGGTTATTATTGCTAGTTATGAATCTCAGATATGGACTATACAAGGCGGTTTTGCAAGCATCTTTCATTTCTAGTTCAGATGATAAATCAGTGGAAGGTTTGACCATTACTGAGGGATGGGGACTGAAAAGTGATGACATATGAATTCCTTGGCACATTAATGAACAGTAATTATTATAAGACAGTTCTGTTCAGGGCAGTACTTGTGCCAATTGTCAAAGAGAGGATGCCTCAACATTTTGAGATACAACTGCTTCGTACTTGGTGATATTCATGGCTCTGTGCGACTGACACGACTCCATCGATCAGGAGAACACACCATGAAAAGCGCTTGAAGTGGTGGTTGCTTGAAAGAACACTTCACTGTCAAGACTACTGCATATAGGCTAGGTCCAAAGCTGTACACTGCCACTGCATTCTTGGAAATAGGCGCAATGTCTTGCTGAGTTCTTCCCCAAGGAAACAACTCCGGTAACACGAGGAAGTATCGGACGATATGTGAGGTCCTGTGAGAAGCTTGGAAGATCCCAACACATAACCAGTATGATGCGATACAGATGCATATCTGTCAAAGGGACAGAGACATACAATTTGGCCAGCTGCACCAAACACCATACAGGAAGACCGTTGTTGAACCGTTAACTACAAGTTATTCAGAACTTCCCATCTGCTAATTGTGGCACCAAATCCGTGCTCGAAGAGATATTTAACTAGTTATGTTTGATAGCTTTTAAAGTCCATTAAACCCAACTCACTCAACACATCGTTACAAAGCGGAAGGAGTGAGTGCAAATATATAGAAGAGTGAGTGAGTTTAGTTTTACGCCGATTTTAGCAATATTACCGACGAGTGAATCCAGAGATGGGCTTCACGCATTGTGTCCACGTGGGGAATCGAACTCGGGTCTTTGACGTAGCAAGCGAACGCTTTATCCACTAGGCTACCCCACCGCCCCATCAATACAAGACATGCAAGCAACGTTTACGAGGTTCTCAAGAAAAAGAGGACCTTTATCACAATAACCGCTGGTCCATTCTATCAGAGACCATACAATATTATATGGTCTCTGATTCTATTCCATTCAAAATTACCATATTGAGATTTTACAGTATTGAGTCTGCGACTTTCAATGTAATGACTGCGCACTATGTATAATCGTATTTAGTTGAAATTAACATAAAGATTTTAAAATAGACAAGACAAAACAGACATGACGGCTAGTTTCCCGCGTTAACTCTAGCGGATTTCCACAAAGTCAGCGCACTACAGCTGGATCATTAGCCTGGCGCCTTGGACAGCTCGCCCACCGTGCCCCCGGTGTTATCGTTCATAAACCCAAACACATGTTAAATTCAATAACTGAAAATATATCACTCCACAAGAATAACTTCACAGATGGCTTATTTAATCAGCACACAAAAATGTGGACAACAAATCCAAACCAGCCTCCTCGATAACCACCATCATCCAGCCAAGCAGGAAACAGTAGTCCAATGGTGGCACGGCCTATTTAATCGGTTTATAAAAACAACAACGCACAAACAAATATTGCTTGGATAGCTACTAGAGAATCAGTAGCAGTTAATTTATCTATTTGTACAACGAACTTATTGCATGTGATCATATTAATTCAACTGGGGACAACATGAAACATTCTTTTATATGTATAGGTCAATCACGCTTACAAGGTAGTTATCTCAATAACTACCGTAGTGATGGTGATTAAACGGCTTACACCACGAGGGCATATTTATTTGATACGCGGGTAATGTATTAGGTATGATGAAGATTATCAAAATGAGTACAATTTTATTGTTTTTAAATAGAAATAATTGCCCGAGGGCAGTTATTCAGTTATGCTAATAAAACACTTCCAAGAACAATGGACATAACTTTCCCTAGTGGTTTAAATCCAGTTAACGGAACAAAATTGCTTGGCATGTATCCTATAGTCAGTTGTGCTGAATCTATAAACGTCCTCCCTACGTCCGCTCTACCATCCGATGTCATTAACAGGAGATGAAATAGTATATAATGATAAATGAACCGACTGAAAGTTCCCTGAGCTAATTAGTTCTATATTACAACCATTTTTACGGCTGATCTATGAAGTAATCACCCTGTGTTAACCCGTACTAACATCTCGACCCGATAAAAGTACGTTCACGAGAGGCAACTAAAATAGATCGGTTCTTTGACTTTGCTCGAAGGCATGGGACGTTATCAATACTATCAAACACCATTTTGTTAGGTTTAGGTCCACGCTTGATGCAACATTTGCATATCTAATGTGACGTAATGGTTCTGTTTGCTCTTTGTACGCTTTATGTTGTGACCATGGGGGGATTAATACATCAGGTGATGGAACGGTAACCTACGAACATGGTCACATACCAAGATCATAATCGGATCATAAAGGAACGGAACTGAACTTTATTTACACAGCGACCGCGTTCTGCAGCTTTAGAGTTCTGCAAGCGGATTCGACCCCATGATTACGCCTCCTGCCACGGATACGTATAGGCAACTCTATACACAGTGAAACTACAGGGCCAACTGAGCCACTTATATGGGAGGAAACACCCTGTATATTTACTTCGAAACATGTAAGAAACTCATCCGCAATACACGACCACATGTTAACACTGGTATGCATGCGGAATGTGAAACCTGCAGATGTACACACTGCATTATGCATGAGCCTCTATGCGTGCTCAAATGTCACAATACCAACAACGGTAATTAGTCGTGCACAAATAGCGAACAAGAATGCAGCAAATATTTCTTCTGGTGTTGAAGTATAGGAACATGTATTATGCTGGTATGAGGATGTTGATCGCTGAAGAATTGTAACTATAATCTAACCATTTAGCTTCACTTTTAATTTCGTTGTAATTTCCTCCAATCAAAAGATTTCCTTCTAGCACTGAATGAATGCAGATTTTGCCGCTATCTATCACAGGAGTATATAGTGTTTCGTATCTATCACAGGAGTATATAGTGTTTCGTATCTATCACAGGAGTATATAGTGTTTCGTATCTATCACAGGAGTATATAGTGTTTCGTATCTATCACAGGAGTATATAGTGTTTCGTATCTATCACAGGAGTATATAGTGTTTCGTATCTATCATCAGGAGTATATAGTGTTCGTATCTATCACAGGAGTATATAGTGTTTCGTATCTATCACAGGAGTATATAGTGTTTCGTATCTATCACAGGAGTATATAGTGTTTCGTATCTATCACAGGAGTATATAGTGTTTCGTATCTATCACAGGAGTATATAGTGTTTCGTATCTATCACAGGAGTATATAGTGTTTCGTATCTATCACAGGAGTATATAGTGTTTCTATCACAGGAGTATCTATCTATCACAGGAGTATATAGTGTTTCGTATCTATCACAGGAGTATATAGTGTTTCGTATCTATCACAGGAGTATATAGTGTTTCGTATCTATCACAGGAGTATATAGTGTTTCGATTGTTCGTTGTTTAACAGCAAAGCGATTTTTTTTAAGAAATATGACAGCGGTGTCTGGACCAGAAAATCCAATGATTGTCATCCTGGGCATCTATCGACGCAATTGGGACGCGATAACATGCATCTTACGACAAGCATGGGTTGTTTAAAACCAATTCTAACCCGAATCTTCGCGGAACAGTTGACTAACATAGGGATTCGGTTGTCAGGAGATTGTCAGTATACCCCGATTGATCGTTCTTTCCGTCAGTGGTCTCCCTAGCACAAAGGTGAAGTTTGTGATCGTTACACTGAACCCGGCCCTCATGTCCCTCCCTGCAATATGGCTGGAGTAGAAGTGAAAGCAACATTATCTCCTGATCAGCAGATCACCTGATCGCAACAATATCACCTCACATCCGACCTTTCTCAAATGTACTGAGGCCTATTGGGTTTCCCAGACAGCTGGTTACACATTGACATATAACGTCGACCTCTATAATATATGGAAATAAAACAATACGCATGGTATATCTATATTTACTTTATATATGCAATAGTCTGATACACCTTCCGTCGCAACCAGGAAGTATATAGCAGCCACACTTCCATGCTTTCAACCCGGACTCTCTGTTTAACTTTAAACTGAATATTTTAACTAGGAAGGACATTCATTATCAAAGTGTGATTAGATGTTGTTTCTGATATAGTCGGCTTATATACTGCGACAACACCCATCGGTTCAAATACTGTCAAGCAAGCCATGTCCGGCTGAAGTGGCATGTCTGCTTTCAACCAAATTGAATGAACAACCAATTTTCGGCAATCCTGGCTTTCCTATTTAACACGGCAAGAATGGAATAGCGACATTGCACGACACACTCAGACACACCAAAATTAGTTGATTTTGAGAAAGGTCTTTACTGTTTAGTGTTAATATAGAAATTTGTAATGTATAATGTGTTATCATGTGA